GGGTATCTGTGGGTTTATATTCAAGAGTCAAGACTGTTCCCTGATTTCTGTGAAAGGATCTTATCCCCTGCAGTCTCCGGTCCCTCTTGAGGGTCCTCTAAGCTGTGCCTATTAGTTTCAGGTGTTTCCACATTCTTTTTTAGGTTCTGAAGCACTCATGAATTCAGACTGAGTTCAGGGTGGATCAGTGTGGATGGTGCAGGAACATTTCCCACATTTTTCCAGATATCCATGCCTGGATTCTCCTTTGTGGATATTCATTGTCTCTCAGTTGATCTGATAGGAGCAAGCACCCCTCTAGTTTCACAAGCTATGCATGGTTTTATGTACCTAGTACTATTTCTCTGCCAGTTACTGTACACTCCAGCAGTTAAAGGTATCCCTTGGTATTCCTAGACTATGCTATCCAATAGAAATATGTAAGATGTATAACTTAAAATTTTCTAGTAGCCACATTAAAAAAGTAAAAATAAACAGATAAAATTAATTTTAATAATACAACACAATATATCCAGAATATTAAGATGTAATCAATATAAAAAACATATTAATGAGATATTTACATTCTTTTTTTGTACTAAGTCTTGGAAATCCATTGTCTATTTTACACTTACAGCATATCTGTTACTACATTACTTTTTTTTTTTTTTAAGTATTCTCCATTGTTATTGATTAAAGTAAAATGTAGTCTTAGCAAAACAATAAAGCTATGTTTAATGAGAAAATATTTTACACTGCTTCAGTGTTTGGACTTAAATTTAAATTAATTTAAAATAAAATAAAATAAAAATTCAGTCCCTCAGTCACACTAGTCATATTTCAATTGTTCAGTAGCCACATGTTGCAGTTGGCCACCGTGTTTGACAGAGCAGCTCTAGAAGACCAAGTATGTCTTTCAGATTAAATGGTGACTTTGTTTCTTTGAGAGTAAACTAACTTTTCCTGAGGTATTACAAGGTAGTTGTCAGATCATTCATTCTATCAGGTTAAATTGGCAGAGAAATCCCTTCTTATCTCAGGGCTTTCAGCATAAGTTACTCATTTATTGTCAGAGTCCATTTTTGTTTGGAGTTCCCCTCTGGCTTCTTTGTATTTACTCAACTGGATTCTCTCTTAGTGACCTAGGAAATAGCCTAGGAAGAAGCCCCGTTTGAATAGACCTCCTGATTATTCTGTTTTAGGCCACTTTACCAGGACCAGGAGAACATATTGAATGATTCTGTCTCAGGTAAGTCAGTTGATTTGATAGTTTCAAAAGCTCAGGTTAAACTGACAGGTTCTGAGCCAGCCAGCAAACTGTGCAGAAGGGCCATGAATCTCATGACTTCTGGTGGGTGCAGTTTTTTTTTTTTTTTTTACAGTGGGGAGTCTCCAGTGCATCATCTGGGTAAAAGGGAAGCCCTTTCTATAACTTCTTTAGATCTACAGAGAGGATTTTAGTTCTACAGAGAGGACAGATCAGGGTTTTTCTGGTGCATGAGTGCCATAAGGATCTGTGTAAGTCAGTGATTTGAAATGATTAGCCCACAGAATGAATTTGGTCTGTGATTGAGTTTGGTTTGAAATACATAATTTTTTTTGTTTGTTTTGGTTTTTTTTTTTTTTTTTTTTTTCTTTTTGTCTTTTTTCGTGTCCGGCAACGGATCGCAACCCTCAGTGTCGCGCCCGTACCGGGACCGGCAACGGGATCGCAACCCTCGGCGCTGCCCCCACACCTCGCTCAGCCAGTGAGCAGGAACTAGTCTGTATGTGGGATCCGAACCCTCGGCGGGAGCGCCACCGCACTCCCAAGCGGCGCACTGGAGCAGGGCGCCCCCGGGCCGGCCCCCGGGTTTGTTTTTTAACATGTTGTCAGTATCTATAATTACAGCGATTTCACCTTTAGGAAAAAAGGCA